GCACATAATCGCGAACGTTAGAGACTGTCTGAGGCGTCTGCCTCCGCAACCGGAAAGGATAAGCTGTCATCGAAACTGACTAACAGGTTTCTCTGAAAGACCATGGCAAGTATCTGTCTCGTTAAGTAATAATTCAAAAATGCGATTCAACGACTACGATGGATGACTTAATAAAAGTGTTTTAGATGTCTTGTTAAAGGAAAAAGTTAGTCTGAGTTGAAATTTGAGTTTTGCCTTGAAGATTCTTGATGCTTCGCCTAGGAGATGTTGGAAATGTCTTCATTTTAGCCTTGTAGAACCGCAGACCTCGGTTCTTTTGTTTTTCTGGCGTTTGATATCATTGACAAGTGATTGATAGTACATTCAGTGCTTGAAGCTTGTAACTGTCCTCTTTGGTATCATACTATCCTGACCCGTCAGAAATACAGTGTAATTTGAAAAACAACTTGAAGAAAAGTGGGAAAGTGTAACATCGATGGGCACACCGTATGCCCATGACATTCGGGCGTACTCGGAACGAGGGTTTTCCGACGCTGAAAGCGCCTATCCTTCGAACAACCTTTGATGAAATGTGAATTATTCGTTCTAGATCCTAACATGCGATGTTTCTACATTGAGACCATCGCTCTGCCGATAGATTTGCTCTCTCAGTTGTGGCACAAGGGAAAGGCCTCAAGAAAATACGTTCGAGGGTAACGAGAAGACTTAAGTGAAGATAACAGGAGGCTAAAAATGTTTCAGGATAGTTTGTAGAATCTGTGAAAGCAGAGGAAGAAGAATACAGTATTTCAATATAAAAACGCAAATTATAAACTGCAGAATAACATCAAAATGCCGTGCAAAACAATTAGTCACAGGTTTTATTCAAGAATGGTTTTAATGGCTGGATGTTTCCTTCGAAGAACCTTGGCATGACGAGACTTGAATCGAGATCTTTCGAGAATAGACAATTTAAGATGCCATCCCGTGTTAGAGTTTCGCATAGTCGCATTATCACCTTTTGGTTTTTTGGAGCGGGAAACAGATTATTAACATGGCAGAGTTTCTTCACATTTGCGTATAACAAAGAGCTAAGGGTTGTAAGACTTAAGTGGAGTATATTAAACACATAGGATTGCCGCTTTTTAGGCGATTAAACAGAGTCTATTTGGAAAACGTAAGATGGACTCGCTGAAAAGCCTCTTGAAGCTGCTGCTTTTACAGCGCTGAATTAATCAATTTTTTGGTATGAGTTGATAAATAAATGTTGACCATCATGGGTTGAAGGCTGTGGCAGCTAGGGTATTGTCTGCTCCTCTTCTCTTTGAACATTGTCTCAAAAGGAAACTAGTTTCTGCTACAGTTGAGATAATTGAGATTTTTCGAAATTTTTTTCAAAACATTTGTCTGCATATGCTTTCAACATAAAGAGGATGACCAGAATCATGCCCATGAGTGCTTATAGTTCATTTTTGTGTTCACGATGCAAAGAGGTCTTCCTATGTCGATTTCCTGGCTATTGCCAGTCGCTTTCTAGGATAACTAGACCACAGTTCAGGAGTCATTTCGTTAGATATCTCTAAAGTAATGATTCAGAAAAAAGAACGCATCTTGCTCTTACAGACTTTTTAATATGGTTGCCAATATGACTGCATTTACAAGCTTTAATTTTAAGGATCTGCATTCCACGTGCCAAGAAATGCAGGAACGAATCGTTGATTTAATTGGACGAATAAGTTCGGAAGAAGTCACAAGTGCGTCTTTTATCTTTACGTTGTTATATGTTAAACTTTTGCCTGTAAACGTGCGCAAGATTTGTCTGTATGCCATCCGTAAATGAATCCTTTACATCCATGTCGCTGGTTAGCGAACAAGGCAAAAATTTGAGTTGCTGGGCCGAGTTACTGAATTTCAGTTTGAGTAACTAAGTAATAATAGTCAGGATAGGCAGCTTATGCGCCTTTTGAACAAATGTGCATACAGCATAGGCATTCCGGACACTGAGATGGTGAACGTTTTTAGAAATTATCCTTCATCCCTAAACGGAGCTTGTCTAAATCATTTCATTATGCCTACAGTAAGCAGAGGATAACGAATTTTGGAGGGAGTGTGAAGTTGCTTTTGTTTTGTATCTTTTTTGAAGAAGTATACCCATGTTTACTAATTTAATACGTTACGATTAAGAATTGGGGAAGAGCCTGAAACGTACCGTGAAAGTTAGAATATTAGATATAGTTCTTAGAACGTAAAAAATAAGTCTGTGGGAAGACATTCGTGTGTTTCGCTCGATATGAGAAAGACTAGAACTGTTCAGCGACCAAAACTACGCCACGACACGCACTGTGTATCATCGTCCTCAGCAGAAACAGAGAAGCAGCGCAAAGTGTAGCACAGTTTCACATTTTAAAATATGTTCTGATTTTGCCATTGCAGTTTCTGCCCATCTAGATAGATGATGGACAATTCGGAAAACTGTTTTTGAATAATGACTTTTGGTTTAATCTCATTCGTGGTGATAACGCTGTTCTCACTGAATCTGCATGAATGCCTGACAGTGTTTCAAAAGCGTCGTGCTGTGCATTTGTGGATCATTACTACGTTTCTCTTAAGTAATACTTTTATAAGCTGTAAATTATAGTTTATTTGGCTTAAACAAGGCAGTTCCCTATCCGTACATGAAGAATTCACTGTTATTTAGAAATACACAAAAGTATTTTAAAATAGTTCATTTGGAAGGGAAATAAAAAGGCTCTTAATGATAATGCACCGAGAAAGAGACGTTTGTGTGCCTGAAAAATATGTCTTCTCGAGGATGATTTCATAACCCTCAACGGTATTCTTTCTTCAGCAAAATTAGTAATGTACGGAGCAGATATTGTAGTTGCAGAAAAGCATCAGCATGTAACTAATTGAAGCATTTTGTCGAAGAACTGTAACATAATCAAGAAAATTGGTTAAAAAAAGGAAAACACTAAGATGAAAAGAAGAGGAAAACGAATAAAGCATAAATAATAGATAGAAGGTTAGATAGTAGAAACTAAATTATTACAGGTGAGATCCTAACTATTCGAAAGATCTTTGATGCATAATTATGCGTTGACCGGTCTGCACTAAGTGCTTTAATTCAGATGAATTCACGTATCTTGAGATCGTCAGTGGTGTTGTCACCCTCTAAGATATGCACTTGTTTGTAAATACCGCGTAGGTTGTCGAAAAGATGCTTTACACTAACAGGATGTTTTTCGTTTCCGAGGTCAAAAACTGTTATATGTTCCTTTAGACGAGTTGTAACTTCTTTTCATCATGCTAATGTATATCTTTCGGTAACATTTGCGATCCATATGGTAAACAGCGCAGTTTTTAAGCAGGTCATCAATTGTAAAGTGTTCATAACACATTTTGTTGCCCAGGGTCTTGCCTTTCCTACTGATGACATTGTACCCTACCTAACTTAGATAGCGACGGAGGGATGAGCAGGAATGTACGATAGAAGGTAAAAATACGGTGTTTCTGTTCATGTTAAGATAAGAGACGCATATACCTTTAGTGAAAAGTTGGTGTCGGACAAAACTGATCTTCATTTTTTTAGTATGCATATGTGAGATTTTGGATTTCAGCTTTACATACCTATTGGCTGTTGCAATAAGATATCGCTATTTTACGCAAGCTGATGACAGTATTAGTGAAGTGTGATTGGAGAACTGCAGGAAAAAAAGGTAAGAAGTAAATGCAATTCTATTATTTTCGTAAAACTGATAGAAACAGACTTATTCATGAAGTTCTTGTTTATCTTGATATCCGTGTCCAGATATTTATGCCGATGATATGCAAATCCGCCCTCACAAATTTTCGAGGCCTGTGTAAACGAAAAATTGCGCTTCAACGATCTTTCGCATAGTTGGGATCTAATCGTCCATAAGTTAATTTCTACTCTCTTATGCCCTTTTCTTTTCTTATTTTTGCCGATTATTTTTTTCCACCCTTTTCATCTTTCAAGCCTGTTATCTTATACCTAATTTCCTAGCTCATGTTTGATTTTTTTCTTTTTAATAACTGCATTATAAACCTGCTGATCTGTGACTTCGGTTGTTACGATGTTTTGTGTGCACATAATTACTTGTGACGAACGAAGAACGCCATTATGGGTTCCAGATGCTTTACTTAAATATTTTCTCAAGCTTCTAACATTTTTTTCTTTATGTAATATTTTTAAAGTTTCTTTTGAAATTCACCTCAAAGCCAGTGATATGACATTTCAAACGCTAAAAAAATCACTTTTGTGCAGTTCGTTCTCGTTAGCGATTTTGTTGGTAATGTCGACATTGAAAATACTTTTTAATCGAAATTAATTTTTAATTTAACGCATCGATTAATTTCCTTCGTTTTTGTGACTTTCAGGCGAACTACTTGTCGTCAATGATGAAATGAACAACGTGTTTGGGAAGTATGATCGTTATATGAAGAACCGAGACAATGCACCGAAACCGTCGTCTGCCACTGAGGACAGCAATACTCCTAATCTGATGGACTTTTCAGACGCTTCTCCAGCACCACAAAGTAAGTACTGTTCAAATATGTTATAAAAGTTGAAAAGCATTGTAAGTTTGCTAACAAACTGCTTGTTTTCAATACCGCCGATATGAATAGCTATCTGATGCGAATTTTCCGGATTCGCACGCATCATCTCCTTCCTTCCAGTTGCCAAAGGGATCGTTTGAGCATGTCATTACTACATATTATTTTACATCCTTAATGCAAAGTTGCAGAACACTACCAGTGTTACAGATGTACTGCAGCATTGAAAAGTTGTGTGCGATTGTAACTGCGGATATGAGGCACAGAGGAACTGCGGCCAATAAGAACTCGACGATCCCCGAAAAAAAGACCGGCGAAAATGTATCAGCTGTCTGAACGAAAAGTGTATTACTGGAAATTCGGAGAGAACAACATCTCAATCTACCTCCTGAAATATATGAAATATATAACATAAAAAATAGTAAATAAACTACGACTTAATGACTGACAATGCACTCCAGACTTTTTCTCCTGTCTCGATTGTGATTTCCCAGTTTCACTCTGCTGTATCATTCATTTTTGTAGATATTCAATAGATTTATTTTCTTTTGCAGCAGGGGAAGCACAGTAAGAGCGCATCAAGTTTATTTCTGTTGTTGGTTATATCGTTAATATTGTGTTTATGTTAAGTAATCTTTGTAAATTTACAGCCTTATTAAGTAACGTTGAGAATAGCAGTCTCTCTAGGCTAGGTTTACAAAGTGTCGTGTAATTGAGGGTAATA